AAAAACAGTCCTATTTGAAACATTATGAACGGACAGAGACCTTCTGCTAGCCCACAAAGATACACACAAGAAGATTACAAATCCGAAGCTATTTATAAGAGTATCATAAGAGCAGATGAGAAAAATATAACAAAGAGTAACATATTGAATGCTATCACCTTATGAAATACACACACACAGCTGGTAAATCAGTCAACACACAAAGAACCATGCAAGTCAGTTTCATAAAAGTTTTCGAAGGCATTATATTATTTCGTACATATGCCCATGGGGTTTGCATTCTTCACTATCCAAGGATGTTCCAAGATCTTATCAATCGAGAGCCTTTTGGAAGAATCCTTTACAAGAAGCTGCATAAAAGAACCGGCCAATCAGAAGGGCGAAATAGTTCCACGACGATTGCTGTTCATAAGTGAAAAAATGTAAATAAAAAGTGATGATATTAATTCATGAAATTACCCGGCTAATGAGATCTTTAGCTTCGTCAGAAATGCTAGGAGTTGAAGGAAAGCTTAAGTCGACCTTCATAATCCTACATATATCAATGTTTACCCGTAAATTAGATTATGATCCAATCATCCAATAACATAATGTTTGAATATATCAAGCCGAGAAAAGGTGCCCATAATTTACCTTTTAAACGTGTCGTTCTGGCTTTCGGCCTCGAAAGGGGGGCAGCCGTATAGAAACTCGTAGCACAAAACACCCAAAGTCCAGTTATCCACTGCATAGTCGTGGGCCTTGTTCTCTACCATTTCTGGTGCTAAATAGTCCAAAGTCCCACACATAGTATGCCTTTTGCTTCTCGATTGTACTGACCAACCAAAATCCGCAATTTTAAGCCGACCCTATAAGGTTTAACGTAACGAAAGTTATTTCAAAGATAACTCGCGTCTGTACGCGGATTTTAGATTTTAATGAACTAGAATTTCTCACGGATGCAAAAAGATGTGCGTTTTATCACAGCAATGAAGCAATACACAAAACAGGAAACAAACAAGCAAACGACCAACAGGATGAAGAAATATAACAGACATGATTCGTGATAATTAGCTCGGTATATCCAATCTTTTACATGCATAACTTAACATTCACCAAACCTTATAAGCAGTTGAGACATATTAAATAATTGGACTTATGACTCTAGCAACGGGCATTACCTCATGATCAAGCAACAAATTTTCCGGCTTGATGTCTCTGTGAATCACATGCTTCTCATGACAGTACGCCAGAGCTCGTGAGAGACTCGAGATGTACTGATTTTCAAGAGCAAAATACATATA